CCAACTGTTGGCGCTGGCCGGGGTACCTTCCCTGGCGAGGAGGTATTCCACTCCCTCCTCCCCCCATCTCGAGTCCAGAATTTCCGTGACCTCGTTGAGTGTCGGGGTCCTCGGTGACTTCCCCCTGGTGACTTCCTACGTGGGTCTGGTGCCGTCCCTGGCTCCTGAAATCTGTGTGGGGCCTTGTAGGGTGTAAGCACCGACCTATGAAAGACCGGGTGCATTCGGGAATCCTCTGGGAGGGTCAACCGAAAAGCTACGGGATTGATCCTGCCCTCAACTTGGTATGGCCCTAGCTGTTTGTGTCCTAGCTTCTTCTTAGCTAACGACTTGGCCGGCACCGCCTGGGCTGCTAACCATACCCAGTCCCCCACCTGGATGTCTTCTCCTGCCCTCCTGTGCCTGTCTGCCTGCACTTTGTAGGCGTGTTTAGCCAGTTCCAAGTGCCGTCGTAGCTCCTCGTGGACCTCCTGCAATTCTGCTGCTAAATGTTCCGCTCCCTGCGACTCCTCTGCGTCGTCGTCTCCAACGCCGGGAATGTTCTGGGATGTCGCCCATTGTTGGCGAAGAACGGTGTCACCCCCGTTGACGCGTGCTTCGTGTTGTTGTAGGCAAACTCGGCCATCGGTAAGTAGTCCACCCAAGTTGCCGGCTTCTGATTGGCGTAACAGCGCAGGTACTGCTGCATGATGGCGTTGACCCTCTCCGCTTGGCCGTTGGTTTGCGGGTGTCTCGCCGACGCTAAGTTGATCTTGACATTCAGGATGCCCAGGAGCTTCTGCCAGAAACTGGAAATGAATTGGCGACCCCGGTCGGACAAAATGGACCGTGGTAAGCCGTGCACCCGGAACACGTGGTCTATGAATAGCCTGGCGGTCTGCTCCGCTGTTGCCACCTTCGCGCAAGGAATGAAATGCGCCATCTTGGTGAACAGATCTACAACCACAAGCACCGCCGTCTTGCCCCGCGAACTGGGCAGATCAGTGACAAAGTCCAGCGCCACCCTTTCCCACGGCTGCAGTGGCGTCTCCAACGGTTCCAGCAATCCCGCTGGCTTCTTGTGCACTGGCTTGGACCTCTGACAAGTGTCACACCTGGCGACGTAATCCGCGACTTCTCCCCGCATCTGGGGCCACCAAAAGTCCCTGGCTACTAAGTCCGCCGTCTTCTCCTTGCCGAAGTGACCCGCGCTGGGGGCGTCGTGTAACTGCTGTAAAACCTTCGCTCGGAGATCGTCTCCCGGGACGTAGAGAGCACCTTTGCGGGTCAGCAGGCCGTCGCGTATCTGGAATTCGCCGTCCTTGCTGTCCCTCTTCGCACCTCCTCCATCTTGGATTGTGCAAACGGATCCGTCTGTAACGCGCGCCGTACGGCGTCCACGCCCACGGCGGCAGAACCGCACGCCCACGCTTGCGGTGCAAAATGTGCCTGGCTGCCACTGGTGCCGCTTCCTCAAGATACTGCGGTTTCTGAGAGCGCATCCGCTATGACGTTGTTGTCTCCCGGGATATACTCTATCCGGAAATCGAAATCCGCAAAGAACTCCGCCCATCTCATGTGCCTCTGGCTCTGGAGCTTCGCCGTGCGCCAATACTCTAGGTTCTTGTGGTCCGTGCGGACCTGCACGGTGTGCTTGGCTCCGATGAGGAAGTGCCGCCACGCCTTGAAAGCCGCGTGGATGGCCAACAACTCCCTGTCCCAGATGGTGTAGTTCTGTTCCGACTTGCTGAGCTTCCGGGAATAGAAAGCGCAGGGCCTCCAGTTCTCTTGCGAATCTTCCTGCAAGAGGACGGCCCCCACTGCTCTGTCAGATGCGTCAGTCTCAACCCGCATGGGCCTGCCGGGATTCACGTGTAGCAGCTGGTCTTCGGACGCGAAGAGACTCTTAAGTCTCCTGAAGGACTGCTCCGCCTGGTCCGTCCAGGTGAACTTTTTCTTCTTGGAACTGAGGGTGTCCGTGATAGCTGCCGTCTCTTTCGCGAAACCCCTGATGAACTTGCGGAAAAACTGGCCGAAGCCGACGAACCTCTGGACCTCCTTCCGATTGCGCGGGCTATTCCAGTCCAACACCGCGCGGACCTTGGCGCTGTCCATGGCTAATCCCTTGTCGGACAGCCGGTAGCCCAGGAAATCCACCTCCGTCACGTCGAACTGGCACTTCTCCAGCTTGGCATAGAGTCTGTGCTCCCGTAGCCTCTGCAAGACCTCCTTTACGTCTCTTTCGTGAGTCTCCTGCGATTCTGAGAAGATCAGAATATCGTCGAGAAAGCATACGCACTTCTTGTAGAGGAGTCCTGCTAGCACGTGGTGCATGAATGCTTGGAAACAGTGAGAGCCATTTTGGAGACCAAACGGCATAACTCTGTATTCATAGGTGCCCAGCGGTGTGAACATGGCCGTCTTCCACTCGTCACCTTCCCTCATGCGTATCAGATTGTATGCTCCAACCATCTTGGTGAAGATCCTCCCCTTCCTCACCGTCGCGAGCAGGTCGTCAATCTTGGGCATGGGGAAAGCCTTGGGTTTTGTCATCGAGTTTATGGCCCTATAGTCCACAATGAGCCGTTTTTGGGGCGTGTCCTTCTTCTTCACGAAAAACACAGGACTGCCCCCCACTGCCTTGGATTCTCGGATGAATCCCCGCTTCAAATTGTGATCTATGAACTCCCTGAGCTCCTGCATCTCATCTTCAGACATGGAATACAGCTTCGCAGTCGGCAGCGTCGCCCCTGGTAAGAGGTCAATTGCACAGTCGTAGGGCCGGTGGGGTGGTAATTGGTCAGCTTCCTTCTCGCAGAAGACCTCCAGAACCCCTTGTACTTGTGGGGCACTGCCTGCACCATGCCTAGATGCAGCTGTTGCCCTTCCTCCTGGCCCTCCTCGTCCTGGCCGATCTGGATGCAATGTTGTGCACAGTAGGACGAGCCAAAGGTGAGCTGCCGCTGGTACCACGCCAAGGATGGGCTGTGTCTATCCAGCCAACTCATGCCTAACACTATGGGCGTGTCTGACAGTTGGGTGACATTGAAACTGATGACCTCGCGATGATTCCCAATTTTCAGCAGCATGGGTGGCGTCTGTTGTACCACTTGCCCACCCAGCAACTTCCTGCCATCTACAGTGACCACATTCAGAGGCAGCGTGGCTGGTAGTAGCGCTATGCGATGCTGCTTGACGAACTGCACCCCCACGAAGTCTGCGTTGCTCCCTGAGTCAATCGTAATGGGGACTTCCAGGGTGAGTCCATTAGGCAGCTGGAGAGTAGCAGTGAGCTGCACCACTGGCTTAGGTGGTAAGGGGTCTGTAGGCTGCAAAAGCGCTGGGGACTGCTTCACTGACTTGCCTGGCGGAGCCCCAGCGTCTCTCCCTCCAACCAGGCATTCTCGTTTCCCTGAAACTGCTCCCCTTGGAAAGCTTCCCGTTACTGTTGCTAAGGCTGCAGTGTGCTTCTGGAGCCTCTGGGGACACTCTTAGCCATGTGCCGTGCACTGTCACAGATGTAACACTTCCTGGTCCCTCTAGGAGGCTTCGCTTGACTGCTCCTGACGCTGAGGCTCCGGCAGCTGTCTGAGCCTTTGCACCACCCAGTTCCATCGGTTCTTCCCCGCTGCCAGCACAGGCGAAAGGCTTGAACGCTCCAAGTCCCTGGAAGGAAAAGGAGGCGCTCTAGCTGGTGGGCGGACGTGACGCCCTCCTCCCTGTGCCAAGGGCGTTCTTCTTGGCGCACCCCTATCGTGAGTGCCCTCTGCACGACTTCTGCTAGGGTTTGAGGTCTGTCCCCTAGCCAGCTCATCTTTCACTGAGCCATGAAGCCCTTCCCAAAACAAGTCCCTCACTGCCAGGGAGTCCTTTTCCCAGCCCAGCACATTCAGCAATGCAAAAGCGAGAATGGTACTGACGCACTGTAGCCTTGCCCTGCCGCAATCCATGCATCTCCTGGCGTGCCACATCAACGTCAACAGTAGATTGGAAGCAAGCGTCCATGGCTTTGAGAAATTCATCAGAGTCCCTGCGTGCAAGACCATCTTCGCGCCACAAATTGCGTAACCAGTTTCTTGCTCCCCATGCAGATGAGACACAATAAACCCCACTTTTTCCTCCTCATCTTTGAAGTCTTTTCAAGCAAATGCAGTGCGTATACGACGTCTGCTCTGAAATTGGGATAATGCTTCAGGTTCCCATCGAAGTGGGCTACTAAATTGCCCCTCCGTCCGAGTCCGATTCCCTCTGATCTGGACCCCGGGAACCCTCTCCGCCCGCCCGATCCCACCTGGCTTGCAGATCCTGGCATCGCGCTTCTGCTTCAGCAACTGTCTTCTGAGAAACCACGACAGCAGTGGAGAGCTCGGTGACTGCGTTTTGCAGGGACGCTATCTGCTCCTCAGTAGTCATTGCTGCCAAACTCGTGAGCTGTGCAAAAAAAAATTTTGCGGTTTTTTTGTTGTGAGAGGGGACTTACTGTCAAGGCTGCCTCAAGTCTTAGCTCACAAAAGACCAACGCCTATGTCTTCTTATATACAAAAGTGTTTATTGCAGTTCATGGTTTGCTTGACATCCTAGGCGCGCAGCCTTACGCCTCTTACGCTAGACCGCTGAAGTCCCCTCTGAGTCAGTCCCTCCCCTGCACCAATTTAAGAGACTTGCGCTGCTCCACCTCTTTCTCTCCTTCCTTTTCCGCAGGGTCCTTCTGCCCACTGGGCTTTCGCTCCTCCTGGATTCCTCTGACGCGGAATCAGACTGCTCTTCCCCCTCCTGCGGGCTTTGGGACCTGGCCCCTCCTCCGGGCTCCCTGCACTTCCGCGCGCCTCTACATTTGAACCAGGCGCGCGCGCCAAACCTCTAACTTTCCTTTTGACAGTTACACTACTCCCTTCACTGCTCCTCCCCTTCCGGGAGGGCGGCTTGCTCTGACCCCCTCCTTTCTCTGCTGCTGGAGCTGCTTCCTCTGACACACTGGAAACTCCACCCCTTCGCTGCACTCTGGTGGGGAGGCTGGTCCTGACGCCCAGCTGCCACTTTGGGATCCTCCGCTGGCACCCTGCTCCTGACACTTCCCCCTGGGGCTCCCTGGCCTTGACCACCGGCGCCCCTTCTGGGAATCCTCTGATTCGCTGGAAAGACTCATGGAATCTCTTGAGTCATTGTCATCCTCTTCCTCGCTGGCTTGGAATTCCTCCCCATCGCTCTCCATCTCCTGCCTACCCTGTGCCTCTCTCCCTGAACCCCTGACACATGTGTTGCGAATGATTGCATTTTTAAGAGAAAAACGCCCCTGAAAAATTAGACATTTGTACACCTCTCGCTTGAAATGCTAGGATAGCTGTCTGGAAAGGTCCCTAATTCAATCCCTGGCTTCTCCAGTTAAAAGGGGTCAGATGATCCAAAAGGCACCCTTTTTCTTGGAGAAACTGGAGAGCATCTGCCAGCCAAGAATGCAGTAGAAAATATTGGTCTAGGTGGACAAATGTAAGAAAGCTTCCTGAAGCTGAAATTCAGTACTAACTCCATTTTGCTGTGATTATTAGAAAAGTCTTGAGTGAGAGGTATTGGTGGACTCCTACCTAGAAACAAGATCAAAGGCTATTCCAAATGGTTACGAGACTTCCAGACCACCCAGAAAATTGGCATGTCACACAAGTCACCTGATGCTAGAAAAGTCTGAAAATCTGATACTTTTGTGTCAACCATTCACAAGGATTGAAAATTTTACTTCCTAAGAGAGGGTAGTATTACAATCCAGAGCAAACCCATCTGCCCATGGGATGAAAGGTTGAAAAGTGGACATTCTGTTCCCTTGGATTCAGGGGAAAAGCACTTCCAGTACCAGCAAAAACCCCAAACATGGCAGGGATGGGGAACTTTCAACTCACCAGATAATGGACTTCAACTCCCACCAACCCCAGCCAACACAGTCAATGGTTGGGGGTGACTGAGCTGTAGTCCAGCAAAATCTGGAAGGCCAAAGGTTGTCTCCACCTGGAAGTGAAAATCTAGTTGGTTGTGTGTATTTTCATGTAGTGTAGTGTTTGCATTTTAGAAAATATAGTGCCTAAGACTACAGCAAACAAGCCAGCCAGCTAATTACGACACACTTGTGCACCAATCACACAAATTATCCAGCTAATTTAATCAAGAGACACTTGCGACTGTCAGTGCCACTTATGACCATCAATTCAAGCCCATTGTTTACTAAGAGCGTGGCTGCCTAAGAATCCATTGGGATTTCAGTTGCATGAAGAGAATGCTGAAATAGAAAAGGCAAGAGAATCGCCAATCATTTCAGTTCTTCAACATGCGCATCTTTGCTATATCTGGAATTTGGAAGTGCATTAGAAATTATATATGTGTTATTAAATTATACTTCATTATAAAGGTAAAGGTAAAGGGACCCCTGACCATTAGGTCCAGTCGTGGCCAACTCTGGGGTTGCGGCACTCATCTCGCTTTATTGGCCAAGGGAGCCAGCGTACAGCTTCCGGGTCATGTGGCCAGCATGACTAAGCCGCTTCTGGCGAACCAGAGCAGCGCACGGAAACGCCATTTACCTTCCCGCCGGAGCGGTACCTATTTATCTACTTGCACTTTGACGTGCTTTCAAACTGCTAGGTTGGCAGGAGCAGGGACCGAGCAATGGGAGCGCACCCCGTTGCAGGGATTCGAACCTCTGACCTGATTGGCAAGCCCTAGGCTCTGTGGTTTAACCCACAGCGCCACCCGGGTCCAGTACTGCATTTGGGGAGGGGTTGTATAAAAACACCAGAAGAGCCTGGTGGTTCAGGCCGGTGGTACATCTCCTCCAGCATCCTCTTCTCACAGTGGCCAAGCGGATGCCTAGCTGGGATTGGGAAGTCAAAAAAACAGGGACCGAGAGAAGAAGAAGAATGTGCCATTAAGCACACAATGGATGTAGGGATGATTCCAGCACTGCAGAGACTTGGGACTAGATGATTGTTGGGATCCCTTCCAACTCTACAATTATATGATCCTACAGTGTGAGTGAGGGTAGCCCTAGTCAGATGTTTGGTCTAATCATGTTTGACGAACACATAGAAGGGAGCTGTGCCATGTGTGCCCTTCCTGCCCCCCAACACCCCCAACCCTGCCAAGTCCACTTCCAGACTGATGGTCTGAAGGGAGCTGGATGTGCTTAGAATACCTCCCATGAAATGGAACTCTGTTTGCAACTGGGAGGATTCTAGAGTCTCCTTTTGGACCTTCAAACTTAACATGTCAAGGTTAGATGTGGACAGCAGGTGGGGCACCCTCTCCATGTGTTCTTCAAACATGGCTAGACCTAACACTGGAATAGGGCTATCCTCACTCGCTCGTCCCAGGCAGTTTAGCTTCATTCTTCCAAGCCAACTCAAGCCAGACTTCCCACAGCTGTTGGGTCCAGGCTCCATCAAAGGTGTTGTTCATCCATAACTCTTGACTACCTTCCATGTCCTTTTCCAATTGATCTTACTTCCAGGAGCTTGCATGATTTTCTGTCATCTTGAAGACTTAGATCCCGGCAATTGTAGGCCCAGCTGGGTCCCTCAGTAGTCTCTGGTTCCTATGGCTACTACATCAAATCCCAGAATTCATCTCTGCTGCTGAAGCCAAGTTCTGTCATCATATCATTGGCCATTCTGAAATCTTATTTTTTGTTGGTTTGTTTTGGAGTCTTCATCACCATCACCGGAATGGGCATTTTATGCTCCAGACATGTTTTGGCACATCTCTGGGGCTGGCACTTTGGATCAAACTATCAGCTGCCTTCACCCAGAGGACGTGTCTCATCTGGTGATCTTCTCAGTTCCTGGCAGGTGACAAATAGCTGTCTATTGACACAAGTCCGGGCTGTCCAACTGCAGTGTCTGTTACGATATTTTGTTTTGGGAAAACCTATAAATTGTATACACTTTACTTTGGACATTCGATAGCACATAACTCAAGAGCCTGGTCTTGTTTGACTCCATTGATGTAGCTACTCAAGCAAGCCTGTGCCTTAAATATAAGATTAACAAAATGAATCGATAGGGCCCTTCAGTGCTGCACAGTACGGTAAAGCGGGAGAGCTGTTGACAGATCTTCTTACCAGATCTAGACGTGAGATACAAGTGAATCCTTCAGCCAATATCTCCTGGAAATGTCTTTGATGCTACTTAAATCTCTTCTTAAGGCTTTTCTCACTTGATAAAGCACTAGGAGAAATAACTACACCCTCCCTCTCCTTTTCTCTGAGCTTTAGGGAGGTAGCACTACACTAAAGCACTTGTGTTTTGTGTGTATTACACACACAAAATCAGGCAATGAAATGAAACTGGCATCCTTTGCATGTAGTCTGGTGTGTAAGCAGAAGCAAGTGAACTGGAAGCTAATTCATTTGCCCGAGAACGAGGAAACTAAAAACAAGGAGGAGTAATGCAGTTACTCTTCCATCCTTGAAAGGTCCTGGGGATGGTGGAGAACCAAGGACCTAACTGAGAACATAAGAAGGACCTGCTGGACCAGGCCAATGGCCCATCTAGTCCAGCATCCAGTTCTCACTGTGGCCAACCAAGATGCCATACCCTCCAACATGTTGAGCCCCCAAACCAGAACACGTGTCTTCCCATCCATGCTCCCGCACTAGTCATATGACCTGCCTGCACAGGACAACAGAGCCCAAAAAACACACTTATTTGGGGACGAAGTCTTGCAGGAAAAAAACAATATGTCCTGGTCTTCCCAGGACACTTGTGGGGTGTGAGATGCCTGTGGAAAGCCTGCAAGCAGGACCTGAGCACAAGAGCTCTCTCCCCTGCCGTGGTTTCCAGCAACTGGTACAGTGGTACCTTGGTTCTCAGACTTAATCTGTTCCAGAAGTCAGTTCCAAATCCAAAGCGTTCCGAAACCAAGGTGAACTTTCCCATAGAAAGTAATGCAAAATAAATTAATCCGTTCCAGACTTTTAAAAACAACCCCTAAAACAGCAATTTCACATGAATTTTACTATCTAACCAGACCATTGATCCATAAAATGAAAGCAATAATCAATGTACTGTACTATAAAATAGATAAGACACTATTGTAGATGGAACTCTAAGCAGTTTACAGATAAAAGTTGTTGTCGTTGTTTAGTCGTTTAGTCGTGTCCGACTCTTCATGACCCCATGGACCAGAGCACGCCAGGCACTCCTGTCTTCCACTGCCTCCCGCAGTTTGGTCAAACTCATGTTGGTAGCTTCGAGAACACTGTCCAACCATCTCGTCCTCTGTCGTCTCCTTGTGCCCTCAATCTTTCCCAGCATCAGGGTCTTTTCCAGGGAGTCTTAAGAACTGCTAAAAACATAGGAAAGAACAATAACTAAGAATTAATTAAACACTGATAGAATTAAAACTATGCATGCATATTAACATCTATTAACACTATACCAATAATTACAACAAAAGCAGCAAGGCACTGGTCCTTTCATTAAAAGCAGTCAGCTCCCCAAAGCCTGTTGGAAAAAGAAAGTCTTCACCTGCTGGCGAAAGGACAAGAAGGAGGGAGCCAGTCTGGCTTCTCTAGGGAGGGACTTCCAGAGTTTGGGAGCAGCCACTGAGAAGGCCCTCTCCTGTGTCTCCACCAAGCATGCCTGGGAAGGTGTCAGAACTGCCCTGGGAATCGTCTTGGGGCAGAAAGGCAGCATAAAAATCAAATAAATATCTGTTATAAAAGTAACATAGAAAAATGCAGAAATTATATAGAAGCAGAAATGCCAACCTGATTCTGTATTCCAGCCTATCACTAGGGACACAAACGGCCTCTGTGTCCAGGAGTGTTTATGCCCAGCTCAGGTTGACAATGTTCTGGAAACTGCGGCTGGGGCAGAACTCAGCTGCTAGGTTAGTAAGTTGTGGCAGTTCAATGGAGCTATGTGTCACTGATCCTGAAGCATTGTCCTGGATGCCAACTCCGGGGTCCAATCCAGGGTGTTAATGCTAGTGCACAAAGCCCTAAATTGCTTAGCACCCAATTACCTCAAAGAGCATCTCCCCCAGGATCAACCATCTCAGACTATGATTGGAAGAAGAGGCCTTCTTGGTGGTTCCAGCTGATCCACCCAGGGTGGCTTGGGCAACCCAGTCAGATGGGTGGGTGTCATGGTATTGATGGAGAACGTAGGGGAGGAGGAGAGACAGGTAGAGGAAGGGGGGCAGGAAGTGCCAGTGGAGGAAAGGAGGGAAACTCAGGAGGAGGGAAGGCTCTCAGATGTTGGAGCAGAGCCTCAACACCGCACAGGAAGCTCTGGCACGGACAGCGAAGCAGTGCCGGTTCCATCTGCTCAGGAAAGGAGAGTGTTAAAGAGGAGGGGGCAGAGACATCAAATGAGAATGCCTCGCCTCTTCTGCTGGAAAAGGGGCGGATGTAAGTCACTCCGAGAATCTGACCCAGAGGATTCGGACGCATGATTATGTGTGCTGCTTGTACATATGTAAAATAAAGGATGTATATATGTATCTCTGAGTGAGCAGAGGCGTTTCTTGCGGAGAGCATTCACAACCCAGCACAGTGGGGTACAAATAATAACATTAGTAGTAGTAGTAGTAGTAGTAGTAGTAGTAGTAGTAGTAGTAGTAGTAGTATTGTTTCCCCATTTATGGAATGCCCTCCCTGGTAAGGTGCATCTGTCTCCTTCATTATTAACATTTCAGCAGAATTTTAATACGCACCCCCGGTATTTCAGGGATGAAAGATACTGTTCCTGACAACCGTGAAATTATTTAGCCAGGAGGATATTTGATTGTTTTAAAATTTTTTTTTTTATAATGAAAAAACATTTCTGTCTTGTTTTTGTGTTGTTGTTTTTGGCTGTTTGGTTGTTTGCCTGGGCTCCTCTGGGAGGAAGGACGGGGTAGAACTTTAATAAATAAACGAGTAGCACAAAATCTGCCAAAAACACAGCACTCTCCTTTAAAAATTGATCTCTAATTTTGTATCAACACAAGTGAAGATATGTAAAATGTACACAAACTGGAATGAAAGTATATAGAAGCGTAAACAGTTTAGAATTCTGAATCTGCCTGGTGAGACACTGAATACTCACTTGGTTCGCTGCCTCCAGCAGATGGAAAATGTGCCGTCTCCTCCTTAAGTGCCTAGCAGACTCCAAGCAACTCTCCTGGCATTTTCTTTATACAGAGCCCCAGACATTTTGGGGTACATCTGAATGCTGGTCCTACTCATAGCAGACCCATCTTGTCATTATTTTTGTACCTGGTTATGGGATGAAACCGACCTCCCCTACCCACATTTATGCCTTCTGAATGTTCTCTCACTGCAACTTCCACCAACCCTGATCATGTCATGTTGGCCGAGGCTGATAAGGAGTTGAAATCCAAATGCATCTGGAGGGTAGCTGTTATGTACTGAGTTGAATAGGATCCAAACTGCAGCAGTCTGATTGGTCCTAGAACAATAGGATCCAAATTGCAGCAGTCTGATTGGTCCTAGAACAAAAGGATCCAGAATGCAGCAGTCTGATTGGTCCTAGAACAATGCAGCAGTATGATTGGTTGGCAGGAACCACCCAATCATGCTCCAGATATAAGTGAATCCACAACCTGATTAGCTTACAGTAGAATTCCAGAATTAGCCAATCATGTGCAGCCCATTGTGTAAATAATGTATATAAAGCAGATACTTTGAGGGGACTTTCATTCATTCCTCCTCACCACTATGAGCTGAATAAAGAGCATGAAATCACGTTGCGACTCTGAGTATATTTCAGTAGCACTTTGTGAGAAGGCTGGCTTCACCCCTGCCCATGCAAAGACAGAATTCTTGGGTTGCATCCAATGTAGCATTAAGTAACTTGTTCCATTAGTGCAAGGATTTACGCTTGAGCAATGGAACTTTCTTCCACTCCCCTTCGTGAAGGGATGCCAGGGATTGAACCTAAGACCTTCTGCATTCAAGACATGTGCATTCCCCATGACGTTGTGGTCCCTCCCCAATATAGACCTTAATTCAGAAAAGAGACGTAGAGCATAAAAGTACTTATTCACACAGTGCAAATTTAAACTATGGAACGATAATCTTGGTCATTTGATTGTCCTTTTTACCCATTGTTGTCTTTTTAATTGTATATATTGCTTGTTTTATGTTGCTATGGCCGTTGGCTAATGTGAATAAAGTTTATCTATCTAGCTATGGAATTCATTCCACAAGAGGCAGTGGTAACTATTGTCAGCGGCTGGACATCGGAGGAAGAATGGTGGAGACCGCCCCCTCTCCTTCTCCTGAACCTTTCTGAGAAGAGAAAGGCAGTATAGATTTACAATTGTGGTTTGCAGAAGGTCCTGACTCTGAGACAGAAGAGGGGGGAAAGCTTGGAGATAATGGAAGAGGAGGGGGGAGCAGCAAAGCCGGAGCAGCTGGCTGACACGTTATCATTAGAAAGCATTCCTGACACCCTTCTCCTAGGACCTGGCATGCATTGAGAATAGTAGAACAGAAAGCTCAGAGGCAGAAAGCACAGATCAGCTGGCGCAGGGATGATGTGCAATAGGAGAGATGGATGGGGTGGGACTTTACTGAAATGGATAGACGCTTTTCAAAGCCTCTCTGAATACTGAAAAAAGGACTTGGTAAGAGCTCTTCTTGTTATCTGCTTCTTGGCTGCTCACTGTGGGAGCGATCGAATTCCCTGAAGCCTGACAACCACCAGCGTGGGTGACTTCAAAAGAGAACCGGACAAATTAATGGAGGAGAGGCTATCGATGGCTACTAACCCTGAAGGGGAAATTCTATACACCTCTGAGTACAAGTTGCTGGGAATCACAGCTGGGCAGAGCACTGTTGATCTCAGGTCTTGCTTTGGAGTTTCCCTTAGGCATCTGGTTGGCCAAGGGGAGAAGCGGATGCTGGACTCAATGGGCCCCTGGCCTGATCCGGGAGGTCTCTTCTTACATTCTTCATGCAGGAGAAGTGCTGTCAGCTTCCTTTAGCTCCCCTTTGCTGCCCATCTCGAAATCACATTTCTTTCCTTGGAGCCAAGTTGAGCATTGTAGCCTATCCGTCAAAATCTCAATCAATCTTTGTGCAGGAACTCACGAAAGAAAGTGCTAACATCGGAGTTTAATATCTTACTTTGGAGACTTTCACCATAACGGGTGGGTGGGTGGATGGAAGCGGGAGATCATCCATATAAATTGAGATTTCCAACCATCATGAAGGCATCGAGAGAATGTGAAGTCCTGAAATATGGCCTCGTTATGCTGGCTGGACTAGGGGGGGGAAAGTGTTGCAGAGAAGTTATAGCCCTCTTAATACAGTTGGCAGCTTTTACAGTGAGGAAAATCCCCCCCCCCCCGATTATGGAGATAGCTTGGATGCATAGGAGCAGTATAGTGTCACAAAGCAATCAAACGATGTAAATGCAAAATCAGATACGTCTTCATCTCTGCCCTGACAGTGCATGCGTCCAAAAACTGTTTAATTGCATGCCCCATCTTCTCTTACTCTTTGATTTATTAGTGGGAACGCACCTTTGTTCCTAATATATTCCAGAAGCTTGATAAACCTAAGTCCTGAGAATGCAATGGATCAACACAATATAAAGCTGTAGCACAATGAAAGAGCATCTGCTTTGTATGCAGAAGGTCCCAGGTTCAATCCCCGGCACTTCCAAATATGCTTGGGAAGGTCCCCAGTCTGAAACCCTGTAGTCACTACCAATCAGTATACAGTGGTACCTTGGGTTACATACACTTCAGGTTACATACGCTTCAGGTTAGAGACTCCGCAAACCCAGAAATAGTGCTTGAGGTTAAGAACTTTGCTTCAGGATGAGAACAGAACTTGCACATTGGCGGCGCAGCGGCAGCAGGAGGCCCCATTAGCTAAAGTGGTCTTCAGGTTAAGAACAGTTTCAGGTTAAGAACAGACCTCCAGAACGGATTAAGTACTTAACCCGAGGTACCACTGTAGTTCAAGGGGACAAATACTGGATCATAGGAAATTTCCTTATACAGAGTCAGACCATTGCTCCATCCAGCTCCGTATTGTCTACTCCAGGGATGGGCAACATGTGACCCTCCGGATATTGCTGGACTACAACTCCCATAATTCCTTGACCATTGGCTATGCTGACTGGGGCTGATGGCAGTTGCATCTGGAATGGGGCTAAGTATATATGCAGAGGTGCAGATTTAGAAACAACTACTGGCATTGTGTGGGACGCGGGTGGCGCTGTGGGTTAAACCACAGAGCCTAGGACTTGCCAATCAGAAGGTCAGCGGTTTTGAATCCCCGCGACCGGGTGAGCTCCTGTTGCTCAGTCCCTGCTCCTGCCAACCTAGCAGTTCGAAAGCACGTCAAAGTGCAAGTAGATAAATAGGTACCGCTCCGGCAGGAAGATAAACGGTGTTTCCGTGCGCTGCTCTGGTTTGCCAGAAGCGGCTTAGTCATGCTGGCCACATGAACCGGAAGCTGTACGCCGGCTCCCTCGGCCAATAAAGCGAGATGAGCACCGCAACCCCAGAGTCGGCCACGACTGGACCCATTGGCATTGTGGTTCTAATTAAGTTGATCACACCAATAGTGAGAGCAGGTGAGCCATTTGCTTTTGCTCAGCTGCTAATCCTTGAGGGACATCTCTTACTTTTTAAAAATCTTTAAACCAGATTTTGTCCAGACAGTGCCTCTAAGTAGAGGACTGTTCCATGTAAATTAGGGCACTTGGCTACCCTAGTCGAGGTGCCATCCATTAGCACAGATCCTGGAACTCAAAGCAGTGACATCAAGGAAACCCTATCCTCCTGTGGTGGGTTTTAAAAAAAACCCCTCAATCAAACTGATTGATTATGATGCCATTGCCAGTGCATCACCATTACTAGCAAACAGGGAAAGGAAACTACAACTGAGATCTCTTTTGATGTATGCTTGTATTGCCAGATGATGCCCAGCAATGATGAGAATCAAAACAAAACAATCTTTTCCGAAGAATTCTCGCTTCAGTGTTTTCAAGCCCTGAAACCATGCAAATTCTCCCCACCTCCACCCTGGGGGCTATTTTGCTCTATAAGAGTTGCTAGGTAATCAAGTAGTTGCCAAGGTCTTCTGTTGCTTCACAAAAGTGGTTGAGCCTGTTTATTTCTGTTGAGTACTCTCTCTCTCTCTCTCTCTCTCTCTCTCTCTCTCTCAAAAAGAAGCAAGCTTTAAAAAAAAATCTTTAAAAAAATACATTGAGATTTTTAAATTCTAGAGACCTTATTCACTGCAGATGGCAAAGTCTCCCATGGACAGCAAGGGTGCCAATCTTCTGTGCAGTGGATCTCTCTACTAGTAGACGCACATCAGATTGTGGTTCCCAGCAGGCTCCGATTTGTAATGTTCAAAAGTGAACAGCCCAGATCCTCCCTCCTTCCTGTGTCCAAACAAAAGCCATTGCATCAGGCTCCAAAAGAATCTTAGGAACATAAGAAACTGCCTTATGCTGAGTTAGACCACTGGTCCAGCTTGCTCAATACTGTCTCAGTACTGACTGACAGCAGCTCCCCAAGGTTTCAGGCAGGGTTATCCCCCAGCCCTACCTAGAGATGCCAGGGACTAAACCTGGGTCTTCTGGCATACAAGACAGATGCTTTACTACTGAGATCCAGCCCTTTCTCATCTTAAATAATGAATGAATTTTTCTTTTTTAACTACCATATTTTTCCGTGTATAAGACGCCCCCATGTATAAGACGCCCTCTACTTTTGGGGACTCCAAATTAAGAAAACATCCCTCAGCACTACCCGTGTATAAGACGAGCCCCAATTTCAAACCTAATTTTTTGGTAAAAAAACCCCCTAGTCTTACACACGGAAAAATACGGTATTTCTGGAGTTTCGAATGAGTGCCGCTGTCACTTCTTGCCCAAGATCCACACCCACCCACAACCCACTCCGAAAGAAAGGGAGAAAAAATAGGCACCTGCATTTCACTTTTCGAGAAGACCTGGAAAAACGTGGGAGCCAGATCTGAACCCTGAAAAGCATGCAGAAATGGGGAAAAGAGTGTTGCTTTTCCAACTTCGTCCTTCACTTCTATGAGTTTTTCAAAGGAGAAAAAGGTAGACAACCTTGCCAAGTGGGAAGTGACTAAGTGGGTAGTTAGGAGTGAGGCTCAGAGATTGGGTGGGTGCTAGGGAAAAATCTAAAGGACTTGACATCTTTCCGCCAGGCCTGCAAGACGGAGCTGTTCCACCAGGCCTTTGGCCAAGGCACAGTCTGACCCCCTCCTTCTGTATTCCTCATAGCACTCTAGCGCAATGGTTGCCATTAATTTGATTCTGAATTGATTTTAGAATGAATTGATTTTAGAATGTATGTCAATTAATTGATTGTGATTTTATGTAAACTGTGTTATTTTTACTGTTGTTAGCCGCTCTGAGCCTGGCTTCGGCTGGGGAGGGTGGGATATAAATAAATTTATTATTATTATTATTATTATTATTATTATTATTATTATTATTAAAGGACACCCACAGGACCTTGATGTAGCTACATTTGCATTTGAGCAGATGGGGGAGGGAATAAGAAAACAAAATTGGGAGTGTGGGGGGGGAATCAGGTCTTCTTATAAAGGTGGTTTACTTGCTCTTTGCAAAGTGGGGCACGCTTACCTATTGACAAAACTGACAGATGCCATTTAAATGTATTGCATCAAGGGCTGGGATAGTGCAGGAGCCTCCATTTCCAAAGGGGTCTGAAACTCACCAAGCCACCCGATTTCCAAGAACAAGCTGCCCAAGAACAGGAAGCTGCAGGAAAGAATGTTGTGCAGAAAACAATAGTGTCAAACTAAAAACTGTGCTGCTGGTCGGATGCTCACAGAGTCCTTTTCTGTGGGTGAAGCTCACCCTTGCATTAAAGGCACCTTGCGGGTGTTTGCACCATTCTGCCCAGTAAATATCAGCCACTATGGAAAATACCCATTGGAAGGAGGTTAACTTGTTCAAAGAAGGACTGTGGCTCCCTAGTAGAGCACATTCTTGGCATTCAGAAGGTCACAGGATAATAATAATAATAATAATAATAATAATAATAATAATAATAATTTTTATTTATACCCCGCCCTCCCCGGCCAGAGATGGGCTCAGGGCAGCCAACACCAGTAAAATTACAGTAAAAACATAATGGGGGGGGACCAATTTAAAATACAGGTTAAAATGCAATTTAAAATGCAGCCTCATTTTAAAAGTAGCCCATAGATCAAAACCATAAGGGGAGGGAAACATAAGGGTCAGACTGAGTCCAAACCAAAGGCCAGGCGGAACAGCTCTGTCTTGCAGGCCCTGCGGAAAGATGTCGAGTCCTGCAGGGCCCTAGTCTCTTGTGACAGAGCGTTTCTTTTTTATTATTATTATTATTATTTTTAAATGATATTTATTAAGAATTTTAAAATTACAGAAAAAACAAAAAAGAAAAAGAAAGAGAAAAAACAAAAGAAAAAAAACCACAATCAAACAATACAAATTGATAAAAATCAAAATCAAAAAATAACAACAAAACACGTAACAGGACACAATCCAAAAACAAAAATAAACCACAAAAATTTAAAAACAGATCCAATATTCTCAAATCCTTAACTGTCATTGCCTTCTTTCATTGACCTCCTCACTCCTCCCTTTTTTTGTATCCTAGTTGTTAATTATCACAGCAAATCCTTTCCATTTTTCATAATATTCTGTCATAACATTACCTTAGTCTATTTTAACCTTATCTTACTATAAAAAACCCTAAAACTTAAAACTTACATCTTATTTATACCAATTTCTCATAACCATAACATATTCTTACATAATTCTTTTAACATTTTTGCTAAAGCCAAATAATTTCGTTCCAACATTTTTCTAACATTCATCAATTTTATAAAGCAAGCCTAATAATTTTTTTTTCCAAATTTTCTTCCAATCTTCATCCAGCGTCTCTTCCTCCTGGTCCCGGGTTTTGTCAGTCCTTTCTATCCCATCAATCTGGCGCATTAACCTGGTAATCTTATGTCCGAGGCCCTTAAGTCTCTTCCATGTCCCTTCCGCGGCTCTTCTTCATATTTATACCTGTACTTTACTTTGTCTCCTGCTCCTTTCACTCGTGGGAACTCCAGCTTGACAGTGTTTTTGACCCTTCTTGACAAATCAGCCCCTTTTCCATAGTCCACACTAAACTCCATGTGGTATTTAAAAACATGTTTCAAAGCCCCTCCAGAATTAAGAGCCCCCACAACCCCAAACATCTCACGGCCCATTGCCAGACTTGGAAAGTCAAAACATCCCTGCATAGGGGGGTCTATCCAACCCCCCATTTCCAAACCAAACAAAACTCTATCTCTCCAAATCTGGCTTTTTCCAAGTTCATTTATCAGATCCAACAACTCATGTTCCTGCTGGGCCACAACTCCCTCCATCTCTGGCACCCGAGGTTCAGCAACATCCTCTTCCCTCATCTGATCTGTCAGAGCACACTCCTGTTTTGATTCCTGGGTGGGCTCTATATAGTTACCCACTACCTGTCCAAAATTTCTGATCGCAACAGTCATCAAGTCCGTCTTCTCATGTAGCTGTTCCAATAGGGCACTTGTTTTGCAGAAAGCACGCACCAGAGCTTCTGGATACATTGTTCTGCAAGGTCAGAAGTCTGTTCCCATGATCGTAATCTGTTGCAGCTGCAGAGCTCTCCGATTCAGATTTAGTAACAGTTTCACAGGCTCCCTCTAGGGGAAGAACTTCTATTTGTTCTTTTCTTTTAAAGGCAGATTTAACAACAAAGTTTCCTTTTCAGATATTTTGTCAATATTTGTTCCTTTAAAATGCGAAGGAGAACAATGGAATCACTATGTTTCTCTTCTTTTAACTATCTGTCAAAGACGTTTGTCTATGGTCAATGAGCTTCCCAAAGAACGTCAGTCCTGACACCTGGCTCCCAGGTTCAAGACGGTGGAAAATTACTTTTCTTTACGCTCTCTTCTGCAGGTTTAAACAGTCCAGAAAAAATCCCCCCTCTTCTCCTGCTTCCGAAGGGGGTTCAACAATTTTAAATGATGAAAGTTAATCCTTTACAAATGATTTTCTGAACTCTAGTTTGCCATGTCTTTGCTTTAATCTATCTACAAGAAACGGAAGGCTGACTTCCTGTTTAGACCTTCCCGTTTCAGTGCCAAATTGAGAAGAATTTCTTAGTCCAATTTTCCTTTCTACTCGCAGATCATTATTTAAAGTCCAATTGTCTGAAATTAAGCTACTCACGGGTAATTGTTTTAGAAGCCAAAGTGTCCCAGGAAAAAGGCAGCACTCTCCGGCAACAGCTGTGCGGCTTCGCTCCACGGAAGAAGCAGTTGACTCTCAGCACCGCGCCACTTGCCCCTCTTCGCTCCGGAGCCCGTAACTGGGTTCCTTTACGAGTTGGGGGGCGCGCGAAAGGTGCCCGCCGAGTCCCATGGTCACAGGCTTCATCCGCCTGTGATTTCGGCGGGTCTTCATCCCGCCGTAGCGGGAAGACCCGTTTTCCGCGGAGCTAGTCCCTCCGGATCAGAGGGAGTCCGCCATTACCGATGGCGCCACCCCGGAAGTCCTGTTATGACAGAGCGTTTCACCAAGTCAGGGCCAGTACTGAAAAGGCCCTGGCCCTAGTTGAGACCAATCTCATCAGTTTGTTAAGGATCAGGTGTCTGGCACTGGGAAAGATGTCTGCATGAGTTGGAAGAGCTGCCCCTGATCAGAGTAGGAACAAACCCCCTGAGCTCAATGGGCAAATAACCTTACATGTAGGAGGCAGCACCCTTTGTTCATTTGCAGATTTTAATTAGCATCAGACGCAGTTTTAATGCACCTACTGTTGTTTCTGCTATGGCGGCCAGGGGTGGCTGGTGCACATTGGTGTTGGTAGGGTGGGGAGCCCAACAGTAGGTGGCGCCAGAGCCCATGACAGGTGGAGCCAGCTCCTCCTAGTTTTACCCCCATCCTTCTGCCTTGCTGCTAAGATCTGCAAGGGCAACAGTGAGATGGAGATTGACTGACAGTGCAATCCCCTGAGCTGGTTGTAAGGAAGGCAGACAGGTGGGGGTTGGCTGAGGTTGGTTGGACACCGTCCCAAATACCCAAATGGGCAACCCTCCACAGTTCAAGTTGCTGTGCTTATTGGGTTATTTTTAATGGGAGGGGGTTGTCTGGAGCAGTGGTGTCTGGTACCCACAGGGACTGGTAGGGTAGAAGGCATGGAGGCCAAACAGCAGGTGGCGCCATAATGAACGACAGGCAGAGCCAGCTCATTTTGTCCCCCTCTTCCTTCCTACCTGTATTCTACAAGGGCAACACTGAAACAAGCTCAGATCTGGTTGTAATTAAGAAGGCACAGAGGGATTTGAGGACTTCCTGAAGGCAGCTAGGGAGCTCTGTTGATGGCTTCTCATGCCAGTTCATGGGACACGGCTGTTGGAATAATTGAGTCTTGGTTTTAGCAATAGGGATATCTTTTATAGATATAAAAATCTCCCTGCATGGTTTCTCATTTCCTTTCCCCTTGACAAAAGTTGTGTTTATGACAACTGCAGGAAAGCACGTCGCACACCTACCATCTATATTTCTGCTTCCCCAATGTGCCGCTCGAAGAATCACAGGGTGTTTTCTGATAGACATGTACAACAGTAACAGATCAGCAGAGAGCTCCGTGAAAACGTCTCTTCCTTGATGCTACGAAGCGGCCTCAGATCAATATTTCACCACCTGCATGGAAAGTGCATGATTAAGCAGGCCTCTTGAAATGTTTGCATCTGGATCCCACTCAAATGGCAGGCGTTCCTCGAACAGCAGGTGGTTCTTTTCGTTGTCACAAACTGGCCAGCTAACACTTCTCTTGGAGAGAAGGAGCTGACTGCAGTGTGAAAAACGTGGCTGCTCTTTTCGGTGGACAAAGTTGGAGATGGTGCTGTGGGAAAAATAAACTTGCAATGGAAAGAATAATAATAATAATAATACTTTAGCACGCTCAGAATCTCCCCTTGATCAAAAGTTTACCTTTCGATAGCCTGCCAGGCTTCTATAACTGGCCCCTAGGCCACACCCCCTCTCTCAACCAATCACAAGTCCTGCTTTGTGTCCTCCTCAAGAGCTTTTGCCTGGCTGAACTGTGTCCTTGAATTGCAGTAATGCTTCATGCTTTCCGGGATGTGTGTGTGCAGAGAAACCACAAAATCGATTTCAAAGCTTTGGATTTTTATTTTTATTTTTTTAAAAATATTTGCTCGGTGCCTGAATGAATACTGAGCAAGCAACACAATAGACTCTCTGGACATCACTTGCTCTCATGGAAGTTGTTTGTCCTAAATGGAAAATTGTAACATGGGAAAGGGAACAGGCTGTACAAACTGCTGGAGAAGGGACTAACTGTGGTGTATTAAGAATTCAGTCTGTTCTACTGAATTAGAATCTCTGGCCCAGGCATGGAATTATATTAGGTGAGCAAAACCTCAGTTTCCCCTTCTATAAAATGGGAACATGATTTTCCATTCTACGTGGCTGCGCTGTGAGTGAACCTATCTCATCAGGGTTTTGTAGATAGAAGTGGGTTTGCCATGAAGGTCAGGTAGCACATTTTTTTCTGGGGTGGGGCTAGAATATGATGATGAGCTTAAAGAGTGTCTTAACTTTCTCTCCTCAGATAAACAAAACGTTCAAGCCAGACATCACTGAAGATGACAAAAATAAAGAGTTTTAAATGCTCTATATGTTCTTGTAGCGATCTACCAGCAACCAGGAGAAATGGTGAATAGTGAATCATAAGTGATAATGGTAAATGTTAAAATTATGAAGCCAAGGGTGGGAAAGCTTTCTCAGTCTTCTGGGCAACCCTCTCAGGATCACATGCAAGTGGCAAGCAGGTCCAGAGGCAGAGGTGGGTGGAGCAACAAACGTAATTTTTTTATCTTTGTATGTTAGGTGACTGTCTACACACATGACCCATGAACCTCAATAGAGTGCACATTTGCAATCCTGATATTTCCACAAGACAAGTAAGTTAGGTGAGTAAGAGCTCCATACCTTGTCTTTAAAAAGCTTGGTGGCTTGGGTGTGGGAACTTGTTGGGACACCTTCATTGCTTTGGTCCAGTTCTGAACATCTTGCCCTCCTGATGAGCTCCTGAACCATGGCCCTCTGAGTCCTGTGTCTGTTGCTGAGTCTGTACCATTACTTGCCTGAATAAAGATATATTTCTTACTTGCAAGGATGAGCTTCTGCTTCCATGTTTCAGGGTGGGAGCAACAGCAGGAAGCCTACAAAGCTTCTTTTCAGTTTTGTTTTCTTTAAAGCCACAGGAAGAAAATACACAACTTCATGTAATTGTGTAGTTTGGCCTTTGGGTGTACTTCTACAAAATGTAATATGCGGAGCAGGCCTGATATAATTCAAAATGTCTGCCTTGTACTGTTTTCCCTGAATAAATGAAAGCTCAGGATGTTGAGTCTAGCTTGATGGCAGCATTGTCCATGACTTTTGGACTTCAGATGTCATGTCATGTATTTTTCATGTTATAAATGGAAAAGGCCACAAATAAAACAGGCCCCGGTGTCTCTCATTATGTAACTTCCCTTAGCTGCAGATAGTACATCTCTTTGTTATACTTAATTATAGCTCTGAATCATATTTTACACAACCCTGGAAATGCCATAGGGGCTTCTTTCACTGGCTCCTTTTATATACCTTAGGGTGTTTTTCCCCTCCCTTCTTCATTTTTTTTTTTACAAGACAAATGAAATATGCATTGTATGTGGGTGGCTTCAAACCTACTCTGCCTCGTTCTGTCATAAGAGAGTCTTGGAGAAGCACACTGATCTGTCTTTGGGCTCCAAGTCCTCCTTCCATTCCCTTTCTTCTCTTACCATTATTAGAAACTCAACACCAAGCTATGGACAACTTCCCTCTCTCACAGGAGGAGCTAGCAGAACTTTCTTACCTGAGTGAGATATGCCTGAATAGGAACTTCCCTCCACTCCATCCCACCCTACCCAGTAAGAAGAGAAGAAGAAGAATTTGGATGTGATATCCCGCTTTATCACTACCCGAAGGAGTCTCAAAGCAGCTAACATTCTCCTTTCCCTTCCTCCCCCACAACAAACACTATGTGAGGTGAGTGGCGCTGGGAGACTTCAAAGAAGTGTGACTAGCCCAAGGTCACCCAGGAGCTGCGTGTGGAGGAGCGGAGACGCGAACCCAGTTCACCAGATTACGAGTCTACCGCTCTTAACCGCTACACCACACTGGCTCACTAAGGAAAATAGCTCACTAAGTGCTCCTGAACATAACAAAGAAGCAGATGTTTTGGGAAGGCCAGTAAGGGTAAAAATGGACTGGAAGACATTGTAGTGGCTTATGAATTCTAGGGGATGAAACAGGGATATGAAAGTTCTACTCCTGAGAGGCAGGACCATATTTCAGTGGTAGAGCATATGCTTTGCTTATAGAACATGGGTGGAGAATCTTTGGGGGCTCCATGGGCCAGATTCTTATCAGAGTCAATTTTGACAGATGGGCAGGGCCGTCGGTCAATCACCTGACATCACAATGGCATCAGGTACACGAGGCACCTGAAAAGGAGGGCAAGAAAAAGTATCAGGCCAGCCCTTTGAGAACATAAGAAGAGCTGTGCTGGATCAGGCCAGTGGGCCATCTAGTCCAGCATCCCGTTCTCACAGTGGCCAACTAGATGCCTATGGGAAGTTCATAAGCCATACATGAGCACAAGAGTGCTCTCCTCTCCTGCAGCAAACTGGTGTCGTGGAAAAATATAGCCTTGGATATCAGGAGGAGCAGAACATGGTCTGTTGGAATGTTCTGATGCTGATAAGCAAGTTGCGCAACCATGCCCCATTCCCTGCCAATCTTTTTGCTGTGTATGTGATAAACAGACTGAGCATGTGTTCGATTGTAAAATAAAATATAACCATTACAAAGTTCCCTTTGGATTCTACCCAGGTGGACTCTGCAACAGCCAGTGCTCTTTGCCAAAAGTCATAGAATCGTAGAATTGTAGAGTTGGAAGCAACCCAAAGGGTTAACTCATCCAACCCCCTACAAAGCAGGAATCACAGCTAAAGAATCACTGGCAGATGGCCGTCCAACCACTGTTTAGAAACCTCCAATGAAGGAGAGCCCGCTACCTTCCAAGGCAGTCCGTTCCACCGTTGGACCAATCTTCCTATCAGAAAGTTGGAACCTAAGGCTTAGTTGGAACTTCCTTTCTTGTCACATCAGTGCTCTTACTGTGTGTTCCCTGGGATAGTGGAAGTTTCCACAACACTGGGATTCAGAAGCATACGGCCTCCAACAGTGGAGGAAGAATGTGTGCATCAGGGCTAGTAGCTGCTTCATGAATTAGTCTAATCGTTTTTATAGTCGTCCAAGTTGGTGCCTACTTGAGTTCCATGGTGTGTGTGTGTGTGTACGCACATAAACAATAAACAACTTTTGAACAGGAACAATGCGAACATTGTCTCTTCTTTCCTGGCAGTGGTTATGGGATGCAGTTTGTTGTCTCTCAGTACTGGGTCCCACAGCCTCCCCCCTCTGTTTTGTTTCCACCAAGCACATGGTTTAAGATTCACTTCTTCTTTTCTTTTTATACATTTTTTTAACATATCATTTCCAACAATCATTTAACATACATTCTTATCTTATACAGTATTTTAGACTTCCATCAACTACCTCTGAAGATTTTCCATTCTTTATCACTTAACCTGCATTTCTTAATTTCTCTATTACTTTTAATTGCCCTTAACTAATAATTCTCTTCATAGTCTTCCTTGCAATATTTCACATAATCCTCCTTACAAAACTTCTTGCAGTCCTACTAGCGTAATTTGCTTATTACAATTGCTTTTCCAATAGTTCAAATATTTACTCTGAGTCACTTTTTCATTATTCCATGTTAACCGCCCTTCCAAGGAGGCCTTTGCCTCCTGAACTTCAGCTGGACATTCTGGCAGAACCTGATATGAGGAAGGGGAGGAATCATTAAAAAGAACAAACCCCCAACAACCTGGGGAAGACACATGGCAGAATCCCTTCCAAGGGACGGAGGAGACATTTGATTTCGTTTGCATTTTGATCACCCAATTTGCCCATCAAAATGCAGCTACCCTTAGAAATGCGCATTTCTCTGAATATTGCAGTGCAATTCTCCAGCTAAACAATATGTTGGTTTGTTGTTGGTCTTTACATTTTTAGCACTGAGCTTTTCAGATTCTTTTTTTTTAATGTAGCATCAGGTGGTCCAGATGTTACTAGATTACAAATCACCCACTAACTACTGATCCATGCTGACTGGGCATCGGAGTACAACAACATCTGAAGAGCCACCAGCTCCCCAGTCCAGCTGTAGATATCCAAGGAAGAAACAGATTCTGCATGTGTGAATCGTCTTATAGTCAAAACAGCACCATCCATGCACCAGATGAAGGCATGAGGAAGCTTCAGAAAACCTCAAGGTTTGCAGAAGTACAAAAACGTTTCTTTTGAAGGGGGGACAAGTAAAGGAGATAGTCAAAACCACCCAGTGAAGAATGAGCTTGCTGAATGCCCTTGAAAAGTGGATGGACTGGGGAGGCAGAGGGATGGGAAACTGTTAGAACAGAATGGAGCTTCCTGGAAAAGGGTGTGTCTGGCTCCTTCTAGAGCAGTGGTTCTCAACCTGTGGGTCCCCAGATGTTGTTGGACTACAACTCCCATCATTTCTAGCCAGCATGACCAGTGGTCAGGGATGATGGGAGTTGTAGTCCAACAACATCTGGGGACCCACAGGTTGAGAACCACTGTTCTAAAGGAACACTCCGCATTGTCGCATTTTGTTGCAGGTCACATTTCCCCTTCCCAAGCATTGTCTTAACATTTCTCAACATATGTTAGGAGACAGGGAATGAGGCGGTGGTGTGTGTGTGTGTTACATAAACAGGAAAAGCAATCAAACCTAGGAGCCAAGGTGAAACTGCACTTAGAAGAGCACTTTTTTTTTTGGACATAACCTACATATTTTGTTTTAAAATACAGTCAACACAATATTATTGTCTGTTGCCCTTGAGGAGTGTGGGTGTATAATTCATTCATTATGAATCAGGGAGCCGAAACAGTCATAGTCCATATTTTGCCCGTTGATACTGATGAGATGCATTTTTACTCATTACTTGGGAGAGCTGTAGATCATTAAGGTTCCATCACCAATAGAGGTGGAGGTGTTTTTGCATTCTGGTATATTAAAAAGGAGCTCTGCCACAAAACGGGTGAGAGTGGCGGGAAGAAGCCATACCTGAGGAAACGCAGGAGGTGTTCCTCTCCCCGTTTTTTGCAACGGCATATTCCTGGAGGGAGTGATTGCTTTAGAAAAAAAAGAAGTCAATGAAGCCAGGCTAATAAAAATAGAATGGGGGGTGGACTACCCCAAATGCTTAAGAAGTATTGTATGCCTGGTTTATGATATAAAATATATAGCAATCTTGTCACCCAAGACCTGATGGAGATTGTATTCATTGCCTGGGAAATGTGAAAAAATTCTTCTTCATGAACAGATGATGTTCACATTCTCCTTGAGCCCTGGTGAATGTGAACAATGGCTGGTTGCTATGCATATTAACCACTCTGCTTACATTCTCCTTAAGATATACATGTTGCTGCTCTCTCTCTCTCTTTCTCTCTCTCTCTTTCTCTCTCAATATTGTGCATAAGCAGCAGTCTTGGGGGATCGAGTCTCATTTTGCACCTTCCCGAAAGGTAGATTCTGAGAACCACTGCTTGCTTGCAGAAGGATGTGTTGTGTGAAGGAGTGCATTATGATGTCTGAGCTGAGCTGTTGATCAAGGTGGGGGTAAGAATCTGATTCGGTTTGCTTCTAAAGATGAATAAACACAATTCACACTTTGCAAAACAGTACATGAACTGAAACACAAGCATTCTTTGAAATTTGCAGTTCTTTGAATTTTGCAGTGCGTTTCTCCAGCTGAGCAATGTGTACAAAAATGCATATAAGGTAGGGTGAAGTGTGGCTTGAAAAGTATATATATTGGTGAAACAAACATTAAAATGCATTACATAAGTGGAAACTGCTTTGCAAAAATGTTTCAGGCAAAAATGATTATATATCAAGTGAAACCTGCACTAAAATGCTGGTGAATTTTTATGAGTTTTTTTAAACAACAACAACAACAACAACAACAGGAAACTGATGTGGAAATGGGGAGAACTGAATTTAAGAATGGAAAAATGGCAAACTGAGATAAAGCAAAATGGACAGATCTGCCCATCCCTAGCTGCTTATCCCAAGACATGCATCATTGCTGGATTCTTATGCTGACTGCATACCAGAGGTTAGGAAGAAAAGGAGGTGTAGGGAGGGAGAGAAGGAAGGAAGGAGCGGATATTAGAATGATAAACTGACACCACTGCAGTGATAAAGTGCGCCACATTAGAGATCATAGCCGGTCTTCCTCCGAGGCTGGGTGGATGGATTGTGGCTGCGCTACCACCAAACATTGCATTCAGGCTCATGAACCAGTGACAAATCATGCTGTGTACGCCGTCTACTTATTCATTGCAGCGGCAGTTCTCCTCTCTGGGGTTGTCATGCCTCTTGCATTGCTTCCAAACCGTTACCCCAAATCTTGTGCTTTCCCTTGCTTCAGATGGACTACCTGCCACTGGTTTTGTGTTTTTTTTGTAATTTTTATTCATTTTTATTTTTCATTCATTACATACATCTCAAATTCTTAACATTTACTATATACTCCTCCTCCCCTCCAAGGCGTCCCCCAACTTCCGCTTCTGGTTTGTTTCTATTTTCACCCGCTTTGCTATTTCTTAACAGAAAAAGTTATTAATAACATAACTTCAAGCCTAAAGACATAAAAATAACAGCAAATACACCATCATATTTCACTATCTTCTAAACATTTTCTAATGCTAATAATGTGAATGTTTATTTAAATCCTGCCATCAAGTCTATTGACATTCTTTGTTTCTGCAAATATAATATGAATGGTTCCCAATCTTTTTCAAAGTCTCTGTTGTCTTTCCCCCCTTGTCTATCTGTCATTTTTGCCAGTTCTGCATAGTTCATCAACTTCGCTTGCCATTGTTCTTTAGTTGGTATTTCTCCAGTCTTGCTTCTGTATTGGCATACATAAATAAAATCCTCATTTCCTTTGGTATGTCTTGACCTAAAATACCTAACAAAAAGGCTTCTGGTTTTTTTACATCTCCCCCCCTGCCACTGTTGACTTTTGGACGCTTGTGCACTGATGCTCAGGACGACCAATGGTTGGCTAGGTGACCTTGTTACCTTTTGGAGAAAAGGTAAGAGGATTTCCGGTAGAGGCGTATAAAATGATATGTAGTAAGTTCGTAGGGAGAAGCTTTCCTCCCTTTCTCTTAAGGCTACAATGCAGGGATTCGTGTCCTGTTTGTAGGCTTCCTATAGACACCTGGTTGGCCACTGTGCAAACAGGATGCTGGACTCGATAGGCCACTGGCCTGATCCAGCAGAGCTCTTTCTTACATTTACTGTTGTACACCCTTCCAGTGTGAGAGAGCCAGTGTGGTGTAGTGGTTAAGAGCGGTAGTCTTGTAATCTGGTGAACCGGGTTCGTGTCTCCGCTCCTCCACATGCAGCTGCTGGGTGATCTTGGGCTAGTCACACTTCTCTGAAGTCTCTCAGCCCCACTCACCTCACAGAGTGTTTGTTGTGGGGGAGGAAGGGAAAGGAGAATGTTAGCCGCTTTGAGACTCCTTAAAAAGGTTAAGGGTAAAGGGACCCCTGACCATTAGGTCCAGTCGTGGCCGACTCTGGGGTTGCGGCGCTCATCTCGCTTTACTGGCCGAGGGAGCTGGCGTACAGCTTCCGGGTCATGTGGCCAGCATGACTAAGCCGCTTCTGGAGAACCAGAGCAGCGCACGGAAACGCCGTTTACCTTCCCGCTGGAGCGGTACCTATTTATCTACTTGCACTTTGACGTGCTTTCGAACTGCTAGGTTGGCAGGAGCAGGGACCGAGCAACGGGAGCTCACCCCGTTGCGGGGATTCGAACTGCCAACCTTCTGATTGGCAAGTCCTAGGCTCTGTGGTTTAACCCACAGCGCCACCCGCGTCCCTTTTGAGACTCCTTAGGGTAGTGATGAAGCGGGATATCAAATCCAAACTCTTCTTCTTCTTCCTTCCAAAGGTTTTAAGGTTTTGCACATCTTTCCCCCTTTTTCTTATATCGTTCAGATTCTTGGGCACTTTGCAGGTTTGGGAAAAAAACAACAACCAGGCTGGTGTTGTGTAATGGATTTTTAACAGCTTCCGCTTTGTTGCCCAGTGATTTTGTGAAGATGTCAACAGCTGCTCAGGGACAGGGAAGGCTGCAAAATGAGCAATGCCCCCTCTGTATCCGCAAGTCTAGTCAGGCCCATGGGAATTTGTCAACTAGCTTTCTGGTTTTTATGAAATGTGTAAACTACATGGGTGCTGAACAGTGTCACCCCCCCTCCCCAGGAAAAGGAATTAGGAGGGGGATTGATTTTCAGGGCAATGTGAGGGATGGGGGATGAAACCTGTTACCCTTGGCTAAGGATGAGGAAGGAATGAGATGCACTTTCATCCTTTGCACTTCCTGAAACAGTATGTGCACTGAAACGTAACCATCCTAATTTCCACTTTCCAAAATAATATGCAAACTGAAGCACAACTACCCTTCCCTGGATTTTACAGTAGCTCATTCCACTCCAGCAATGCGTATATGACTGCATTTACTAAGGTAAAATGTGCATTAAAATGCATATATTGGTGAAAATAACTTTAATACTCGAATACATTGGGGAAAATTGCTTGGGGAAAAAGATGGGTGTTTAATGCCTCCTTCATGGATCACTGCCTTTCTGTGGCGAAGGGGCTTGAATAACTCAGAGAAGCTATGAGCTATGCCGTGCAGGGCCAACCTATCCATTCTGAAGGAAATCAGCCCTGAGTACTCACTGGAAGGACAGATCATGAAGCTGAGGCTCCAATACTTTGGCCACCTCATGAGAAGAGCTCCCTGGAAAAGACCCTGATGTTGGGAAAGATGGAGGGCACAAGGAGAAGGGGACGACAGAGGACGAGATGGTTGGACAGTGTTCTCGAAGCTACCAGCATGAGTCTGACCAAACTGCGGGAGGCAGTGGAAGACAGGAGTGCCTGGCGTGCTCTGGTCCATGGGGTCACGAAGAGTCGGACACGACTAAACGACTAAACAACAACAAGGTTTATAATGCTGATGAATTTTCATGAGGACTTTAAAAATAAATAAATTGCAAATTGACATGGAAATGTGGAAAACTGAACTTGAGGCTGGAAAAAATGGGAAATTCGAATTGATGGATTTGCCCATTCCTGCTCTTGACTAGCATGAATTCAGGGTGTATGGTGCTATAGTAACAACAACAACAATAGCAACAACAACAAATCACAACCATGATGATTTCTTTAGATTTAACCTAAATTTTGTTGCTGTAATTCTGTACAACTATTTCAGTAACCTTCTGAAATACAGTGAGTTCATTTGCAGTTGCTTCTTGGGTATTCACTCTCTTTCTTCCCATTTTTTAGGAAGTTTTCTTGATCCTTTCTAAAATCTGTTGGGTCCCCATGGTCTCTTGGTGGCATTTGACACCATTGACCACATAGAAAAAGAAGAAGAGGAGGAGGAGAAGGAGGAGGAGGAGGAGTTTGGACTTGATATCCCGCCTTTCACTCCCCTTAAGGAGTCTCAAAGTGGCTAACAATCTTCTTTCCCTTCCTCCCCCACAAAAAGCATTCTGTGAGGTGAGTGAGGCTGAGAGACTTCAGAGAAGTGTGACTAGCCCAAGGTCACCCAGCAGCTGCATGTGGAGGAGCGGGGAAGTGAACCCGGTTCACCAGATTACGAGTCCACCGCTCTGAACCACTACACCACGCTGGCTCTCTACACATCCTACCACTCTGTGCATGGGGAATTTTGTTGCGGTGGTTCTACTCCTAACTGTACGGTTTTCTCATGGTGCCTCTTTAAAAAAAAATAAAAAATGCAAATGAGTGTAGAGACATGTAGAATTGAAACTGAGATTGGAAAAATAAGAACAAAGAGCAACTGAAGCTGACAGATTCCTCCACTGAGCTGCAACAGGCAGCCCTGCTTGTATGGAAGGGGTAGAATTTTGTTCAGCTTGAATTTTTAAGCAACCTAACTTGCACTGACCAGACCAATTCATGGATTGCAAGGCCATCAGCCTTCAGGTTTCACACTTCTTCAATGTTCACAATGCTGCTCTTGGCATGCAAAAGTGTATTTTGGGCAATATATGTACAGAAATGCATATTTTAGTACAAAATAGGTGCAACTTAAATACGTTTTTCCACAAATTTGTTTATTTATTGCAAACACTACTAGGGTGAAATGGACTCCTGAGTGAACACATCTGAAATTGACATTGTTCAGAAATAACCAGAAACATCTATCCCTAATCTCAGGCTGAATACATCCTTCCTCCCACCTACCACCTTTCATGGGATATGCCAGGGTCCCTTCCCCCACAGAGCACATTCTTGCCACTAAAATGGGGTTGTTTCCCAATGAAATTCAATAAGACAAAAAAACAGAGATCACCCGAGGATGGAAAGAAGTCAACTGCACACAGAAGCAGCTATCTAGAAGGGGTGGAGCCATAGCATTTGATTCCTGGCAAGTGGATTGATGATGTTTACCATGAGATGTTAGGTGGTGGGGAAGGGTTTGCAGAGTGCAAAGACATTGGCAGGAGCACCAGTTTTTTGGGCCCTCCTCTTCCTGGCAAATAGCAGCAGCCCACAAGTATCCCACAAGCAGCCAGCAAGCTATTATAGCACCCCCACTCTGCCTGGTGAGCCCCTTCTGATTGAATAGCATTCCTGTTCAAATAAAACATCTCAAATTCTCTCCCTTTTTCCTAACTCTCTCTCTGTCTCTCTGTGTGTGTGTGTGCAGGGGGAACAAGCAGGCCAAATATATTGCTTTTAAACAGGCAAGATCTTCGCGTTATTGATCTTACAAAGCCCTGTTTAATGGAGGATGATGGGAGGAGAGCATGAAGAATAGAGAGAGATTATTCCTAAGCTTTGTCACTTTAACCTTCTTGGCAGCCCAAAGCGAGTCATCTGAATAATGCAAACACTATTGACTTTGGGATAATGCCTTTAAAACACTCAAAGGAGGGGTGAATTGTAATAGGTGACATGGCAAATGAAAGGGAATTTCTTATTATTTATTTATTTATTTTTTAAAAAAATTGCAGCTCTGCGTAAGGCTCGGCTTGTTTTTTAAGAGGAATGGAGGAACTGTCTCCCCACCCCATCCTAAAGTTACTTTAACTTAATGCAAACAACAGGAACAGCCAGCAGGACAGGACAGGACAGAGGGCAGGTGGAGTGGTACTGCTTGCTCGATTTCACCTCTGGTTACTCAAGAGGGAGTGGAGGGAGGCGGTGGTGCATGCAGCGTCAGAAGTGTTGGATTGGTTCCGCTGCTGTGCCTGCACCACACCAACCTCCCTGTCACCTTGCCTCTCCCTCTTCCCAGTTACCTCTGAATGGGGAAGACTAAGATACGCCACCTTGCTCTGCCCTGCCAGCTGCTATGGAGTAACAATGGAATAAAAATACTAATGCAAAGGCTGCAATCCGCTGGACTCAATTGTGGTTTTTTGCATGTGAGCAGGCGTTAAAGGTAAAGGGACCCCTGACCGTTAGGTCCAGTCGTGGCCGACTCTGGGGCTGCGGCGCTCATCTCGCTTTATTGGCCGAGGGAGCCGGCATACAGCTTCCGGGCCATGTGGCCAGCATGACTAAGCTGCTTCTGGCGAACCAGGGCAGCGCACGGAAATGCCATTTGCCTTCCCACCGGAGCAGTACCTATTTATCTACTTGCACTTTGACACGCTTTTGAACTGCTAGGTTGGCAGGAGCAGGGACCGAGCAACAGGAGCTCACCCCATCACGGGGATTCAAACTGCCAACCTTCTGATCAGCAAGTCCTAGGCTCTGTGGTTTAACCCACAGCACCACCCGCGATCAGACGTTAGGATGGCATTAAATACTTCTAATTTAACTTTAGCCATAGTGCCACAGCCATAATAATAATAATAATAATAATAATAATAATAATTTATTATTTGTACCCCACCCATCTGACTGGGTTGCTCCAGCCACTCTGGGAGGCTTCCAGCATATACTGAAACATAACAAAGCATCAAATGTTAAAAACTTCCTGATATAGGGCTGTCTTCAGATGTCTTCTAAAGGTTATATAGTTACTCATCTCCTTGACATCTGATGGGAAGGCGTTCCACATAATAAGCATGCTAGAACAGAAAAAGTTTCAAAAACATTGTCTCCAAGAATATATGAATGATAACAGAAGAACAAACATACAAATCTGCAGCTCACACCATGGAAATATGCTCTGCTAAGGCTGCAGTCATAACCCTACCTAAGAATGTAAGAGGATCAGGCCAAAGGCCCATCTAGTCTGGCTTCCTGTTCTCACAGTGGCCTCTGGGTGCCCACAAACATGACCCGAGCACGACAGCACTCTCCCCCCTTGTGATTCGCAGCAACGGGCATTCAGAGGCATGTTGCTTCTGACAGTGGAGTTCAGATTGCTCTTCATAACATGCAGAGTGCATCAGAATATTATTAGGTGCCCTGTAATTATGAGTTTCGTCATCTCTGGTTGAGAGAGCACCAGAGGCTACATTTATATCCCACCTTTTAGACTAAGCTCTCAAGGCAGTTTGTTCTTTTATATACATACAATCATAGTTTGCAATCTCAACAGACATGTAGGAAAAGAGGGTTTCACCCGATAGTCCCCCCCCATGTTTTTCTTGAGTGGGCCTGTCCCCCTCAATGTTCAGAGGGCATTTGGCTCTGCCCCTGGCTCTTGGCAACATCACGTGCATGACGTCAGCGTTGGGCCCCCTCAATCAACTTGAGAAGATGGCGCCTCTGTTGTCTAGCATCCTTCTTGCTGCCTTCAGGAAGCCCACAAGAAAACTGCATGTAGCCATCATGGCTTAGGAGCCAGACTTTTCTTCCTTAAATTTGCCTATTTTAAT